CTAAATTTGTGCATCCACTTCTTAAAATTTATAGGTCATTTTCTGAATGAGACTTCGGGAGACTCATGGAGAGAATTATCTCCTAATAATTTAAATATGTAAAAGGGAAATTAGCTCTCTCATTGCTACACAGATTCTTTTTTTTTATTAGCAAAACCTATTTTAGTCCTGTACTTTCTGTGCCATTGTCAGTTTTTTTATGTGCGCACATGGACATTTGCATAATTTCCATGAGGGAGACTGAAACCTTTCAGGGAAACACAATGCAAAGTCCAGGAAGAGAAAACTTTTCATACAGGCAGAAAGGAAACAACAGTGCCAAGGAACAACAGTGCCAAGGTTAATGGGGGAAATGCTTTCCACTGTGCCCCTCAGGGCTTGTCCCGGTTCTGGCTGAGCTCCTTCTGACATGTACTCTTTTAACCACACATTTTCATCAAACTGATGCATTTTGGCCAAGTGTTTCTATATTGGCCTATAGTTCCTGTTTAGGAAGCTTCCCTGTCCAACCATCCAAGAGCCACTTTGGCAGTCACATCTGGACCACCTGAGCTGGGACCAAAGCCCCTCTGGAGCTACATCCCCCCCACTCACAGTCAGACCAGGTTTCCTCACCAGCTCGACCCCAGGTTCCCCAGAGCAGAGTCTCCTCAGATGTCTCAATCCTTAAAATAATTTAATTTTGGTGCAAAAACTAATTAAGAAATTAACAACTTGAGGTGGTGCCTCTGAGGAAGGACCCCGAACAAAGGAACCCCATGGCTTTTATACCCTCACAGTCTAAGTGCAGTAGAGTCTGGGGCCATCGGCTCCTGCTGTGTCTCTGAGTGTCCCTCACCTGGCTGTGCCCCAGGTCCCCATGCCCTTTGTCATGAAAAGGGTCAGCAGTTCATGGCCTCTCTCCTCAGGCTCCTGCCCCTCAGAACTCACACCACAGCTGCCCCCTGAGCTACCTGCATGGAATGTATCCCTCAAAAATTCCCCTACAATCTGTTAGCAAACAAAAGCAAACAGCCACAGTGCCAGTAAGGCTTGTCTCTCGTGACAGAACTGAAGAACCCCTCTGCATGGACCATTATTTTCCAGCTCTCCCCCTGCTCTCAGCCAGCTTGTTCAGCTGGGTCTGGCACTTGTCAGGCCCTTCTGTTTTAGCTCATTTTGTTTGAAACATAAATTAGCTCAGTTATGGCTCACAGCTTGTTCAAGGATGGGGCAGGACTGCACAGCCAAGTGTGAGCAGAGGAAAGGGCAGAGGAAGGAAGAGGTAGGGCAGGGAAGGAGAAAGAGCAGCAAAACAAGTTATTGCATTGGCAAGACTGCCATAGTAAACAACACTGAACTGATATATGTTATTCTGGCCACCAAGACGTACCCTTGCTGGAACATGAAGAACAGCAAGGGAATATAAGAAATAGTGAGACTTAGTGGAATAACGACAGTAATTTTAAAAACCTCAAATGTCCAATGATATGATTCTGTATCATAAGTTAGCACATTACCCAGTAGGGAAAAAAATCATCTGAGAGACAGTATCAGCTTTAAACTGCACTGGAGCTATCTTCTACTTCCAATTTTCTTCTCTTTCTGTGATTGTATATGTTAACTCAGGTAATTTATTGCACCACCTCTATAAACACTGTGTATGTTAGATCATGTTGTCATTCAAATTTCATTTCCCCATTTGCTGTTTCTTACCTATATCTCCTTTTCTAGAATAATGACTGCAATGGCAATGACATTTCATTGAGAGGCAGCACCACAGTTCACATCAGTACAGTATTTCCAGTTGTCCCAGTCACACACTAATTCAAAGCCAGGAGTGATAAAAACAAGGCAGCTGGACATTTTAAAAACAGTATTGTGGTATATGCAACCTGTACCTCAGCTTCCATTCATCTAAAGGCAAACTCTTACTCGTGTTACCAAGTTACTCATCACATCCAATAGCTCAGAAACCCAGAGCTGGAGAAAGGTCAGAAGCAGGAAGACTGCCAGGAAAGATGTTTGGGACAATGCTTTCTCTTGTATTACCAGCAAGGTTGATGAATTGTAGTTTGTTTTACAGTTATCTTACAGTGAGAAGTCACATGGAAACGTAGTACACACAAGAAAATGTTCATCTTGGGATTGAAAAAAGCATTCATGGAAATAAGTAAATAATTCTGACAATATGTAAGAGAAAGCATTATTCTCATTATTGGGGATAAAACACCAAGGAAATATATGCTGATGACACAAAAAGGCAGGGTCAGAGTTTAGAGCTGAATCTTTAACCTCTAGTGTTTACACAGGAATTGCCTGCTGTCCTTTCTCCACATTTCTGGTACAGAGCACCAGAATTATTCTGTTACTGGTTTTACCACTTCTTTATAGCTATTCAAGGACCAAGGACTAAAATACTCCAATTCCATTCCAAAAGAAACATCAGGATTTTGGACTTGTTTCTGTACCTTTTTTTTTTTCTCATAAATGATTTTTTTTAATCTTTCTGGATTTTTTCTTGATTTCAGTTATAACCTCTGTATGACAGGTGGGAACCCAAATTAATCTCAGATGCAATGAAGCACTACGTTAATGTAGCAAAAAATGACCCTTATGATCTTCATAGGGACGGAATCACTTTACATTCATTACACCACTGTACAGTCTTCATTTATTTTTCATAGTTATTAGAACTTTATTGCATATATTGTAGAATAAAACCTCATTTATTTTATGCTTTAGAAGGAATGATGCTTTTTTCCACTATCACATTTCAAATTAATTCCCCTTACGTAACTCTGTCTCTTCATTTTTTGGTACAGGCCAAAGATTTCTTTAATCTTCTCAGTAATCTAGTTTTATCAAAAATAAAGAGCAATAGTGAAAAAAGGGACAGAGAAGAAGAAAAAATATACAAAACCACAGCTGGGCTAAAACTTTAATACTCACAGGAGAATACCAACTGCACTGGCACCACCAACTAAAATTAAAGGGTATTGCACGTTTCAGCCACCCAGCTCTGACAGCTGGCAAGTTCTCAGAAGAGTTCTACTTCTCCAGAAAATCCATGCCAAAGCAAAATGCTGAAATGTTTGTCTTCTTGTTTACAGCAATATTATGTCTTTTAAAAGAACGCCCCTTGCCCTACAAACAAGGAACTCAAGCATTTATAATAATATTATTTATATAGAACATGAATAGCTTAAAATTGGGTTAAAAAAGTCTGGCTTGTAGCGCTTAATGGAAGATGGAAAATAACGCAGTCAACAAAGAAACCTTATACTGCACAAGAGAAATGTTCTAATCTATTCTTAACTCACTTTTATCAATAATCCCATAGCTGGCTTCTGGCCATCCCAGATGAATAATTTAGAGCCAGGAAAAAATAGCGATTTGGGCAGACATTGTCCACATCTGTAATTCATCTGCCTTGCTATATTAAGTCATTCACCTGTTAAAATCCAATTTACTAGTATATAGATGAATATACTTAAAGGTTACACAGCTAAAAATAACACTGCCTCCAGGATTTTCTATACTGTGGAATACGTAAATTATCCTTGTCAGTATGCTGCTATATAAAGGCATTGGCTTGTATTTCTAGAAGCAGACATTTCAAAGTTCAGTCAGGGGTTGCATTTTGCTAGAACAGCTTTGCAGCATATATAAAAATGTTCATTTTGTTTTTAAGGATACTTTATTATGGCCATTCTTTGGCAAAGAAAGCTATCAGGCTCACCACGGGGGATAGTAGCACATGCCTAAAACTAACAAAATCATGAGGTTTTTGGTTTCCCTTAATTTTTATTTTTTTTTAAAGTACTCTGTGGCTGATCTAACTTAAACCTGTATATTCTTTTTCTGCAAAGTCACATGCTTTTTCTTCTTTGAGAAGCCTGATGAGGCAGCTTCAGCTCTTCCTTCTCTCCCACCATTGCTGACCCCCAGCTGGAGCCTGGACCTGCTCTCCCCATCAGCCCTTTCCCCCAAAAACCCTCCCATTGCTTGTGACACAAAGGAGTCGCTGTGATAGTCAGTCAGCATCCGAATTTCCTCTCCTTACTCCCTTGAGCTAGAAGGAACGTGGCTTTATTCCATCTTGAGCATCATGAATAAAACCATTTGCAAAGCTGTGCGTGCATCACAGCCTCTGTGTTGCTGTTGCTACAGCCCTGGTAGGGCCTAATGCAATATTTATTGTCTGTCATTATGCACAAGATGGAAAAAATGCTCTTTGACTCTTGGGAGCCTGAGATGACTTTCACTGGTCTAAAAGGGGTAGAGGTTTCCATCTCTAATATGGATATGGAAACCACTAACACGTAGAGGTAACTCTACAGCTCACATCTCCAGTGGCCAGGCCATCACCCTCCAGTGCCACTCAGCAAGACCTTACTAGAAATGAGTGAAGTTGTCTACATACAGCCACTGTCTTGCACTTTCCTTCTCCTAATGACAATGCAGCAGAAAAGCCAGTGTGGCAGAATGCCAGTGACATTGAACACAAAACATGCAGGTAGTAAGCTTTTGTCCATGGAAAAAGTCATCCGAGGGTCAAAAAAACAATGGAAAATTGTAGTTTTAGAGTCAACGCTATGCCAAGTATTGTCAGAAACAGAGAGGGTTTCTGCTCCAACCAAGCAGATGGAAATTATTCTATTGTTCAGAGATAAAGCAGGGCTCCCACCCGGGAGCTGACCACACAATTACACTTCTCTGCCTGGGCTGAGCCTTTCAACCACCCTCCATGGGGGTGGTTGGTTCAGGAAGAAGGTTTGATACTGCAGCTATTTTTACTTTTTCTCCTTATTTCTCTTGTCCAAAGATGCAAATGCAAGGACGACGCGTTCCATGAAAAAACAAGAGACTTCCTTTGATGAACAGGATGTTGGGTTTTCTGTGGAGTCACACACACACTCACAAACCTGTTCTCTTTATGGCTGAGTAAACATCCTCACCTCCCCACAGATCCTTTTACATATTGTACACATTATGCATCTTCCTCTTGCTGTACTCACCCCTGGGCTTCAGTGGGAGCAGCTGGCGTGTTGCTCAGCGTGCCCATGGAGTTACCAGAGTACATTAATCACTCATTATCTTGTTTGCAGTGCTGAGACAGAAAAGCACAAAGATGAACACATCAATCCTTTCACAAACATTACAAAGAAACACTCAAGTATTCCTTTCAGCAGAACAAATACTGAGAAGTGAGCTGACAAAACACAAGGTCAGCTGGCACCCTGGTCTATAGCATCACTTATATTTACTTTCTCTTGTCTTATCTAACTTGAATAACTTGCATTCAGGATATAAGCATACATTTATGTTTATCTTTCCGAATATAGTACCATGACTGGAGTAAGCCTCTACTGGAGTGAAATTCCACTCAATGCTATCCAGCCATGTTCCAACATGTGGGCTGGATTATCTTTGTTTTGACTCTTTAGATGACATCCTCAAGCGGTGCCACAGCTGCACTGAAGATCACCACTGCCCACGCTGCCCTTCAGACACGGGGTGTGGGCGCTCCAGCCTCTGCCTCCAGCAGGAGACTTGGGATACCAACCTCCTGATGTTTCTGAGTAAGCACACAAGGAGCAGTGTCCACCTTTCCCTGCTCTTGTGGGCCCATACCCTTCTCCCAGTTTTCTATTCCATAGCTCCATTTCTCCCTGTCTCCCTAGGTTGATGCGGGTTTTCAGGTGCTCATGTGCCCCTCTTCCCCTCCTTTGCACCCAAGGACCATATAATTCTGCAGGACAAGCCTTGGCTGCCTTTTTCCAGAGAAATCTGACTGCAGCACATCAGCAGAAGCGCAGACATGAGATACTAAGTTTGAATCAAAGACCAGGTTTATACATTGCAGTGAGGGCACTGCCCCTTGAGACAGGAGGCTCCCCCAGCAGGTATGTGAGCTCACACCTACAAAGACTTGGCTCTGAGCGAGTAAAAGTGCAAAATATTCCCTTTTAAATCAAAACACGTGACAGTTTACCAGATCGAAGAAACCTGGTCTGGCTTAGGGTTCCAGATAGGAAAACACCACTTCGGTTTCATATGTTTAAAGCCTTTAAACCCAAAGCAGTAGCAGCCTATGAGCTGCAGTTGACTTTTAACTTGGGATCATTTGACTCTGAAGCTTGAATGGTAAAGAAGCAGCATAGTTTTGGACCTGAAACTTTTAGGCTTTGCACATATCCGATATATGAGCTAATGTAAAATTAAGTAACATTGATATCTTTGTTACAGCATCTTCTTTTTAGAAGTTGTTTTGACAGACACTCAGTGGCAGTTAGTTTCAGAGATGTAAGTGCAGACCATCATATCACTGTTCCTGGAACACAAATAGTCCTTTTTTACCAGCAACCTGGAAATGAAGTAATGAAACAAAGAACACTGAGGTGTTTGATGGCTCTTCTAGCCATTACACTTGTGATTCAGCTCTTAAATTCAGGGTAGCAATTTTCTTCTAAGATAAAAGAGAGAGAGATATGATATATGTAATAAATGACAGACTATCTTTAAACATTTATCACCGTAATAACACAAAGACAAGGAGAGAGACAGGAAATCAATACAATAATTTTAGAAAGAACATCAGGAACAATGATCTGAGGGAGAATAATAAGAGGAAACCGAGAAGCACACTAGAGTAATTTTAGACAGAAAGGCGACAATAACATTCTTCTAAACTAGCAGGGGAGCTACAGCGAGGGCAATCTGCGTAGCTATAGGTTATAAATAGTATGGAAGAACAGAGGACAAGAAATATGAGAACTTGTCAAATTGAGGGGGCGAAAAGGAATCACACTTTACAGTCCCATAAAGCTCTTCGTGCAGTAACTAATACTCATGTGAGTGGGACGCTACTATTCTCCTCATCAGTGCTTACGAGTGCCATCAATGCTTACTGCATGCCAGAGTCAGAAAGACCAGGGCTGAAGAAAAACCTAAGATCAGGGTTCCTGGCACAGAGTCACAGGAAAAGATCAGAACACTTGTAATTGAGCATTTCTTTCCACAACTCCTGTTGCTGCGATGTTGGTAGAAATGACTGATGAGCTCCATGACCAGCTCGTCTTTGAGAAGAACCAGACCACAGTCTAATAAATAAGCTGTTCCTCTTTTTAGAAATTGAGTCATTTCACAGGGATTACTTTTTGTCTTCTTGATAATATTTTACCTGACTATAAAAGCTTTCTTCTGACTGCACGGATTTCTCCCCCTCCATTTTCATTTGCTTTAATCAAGCATCAAGGTACAATAGTTGCAGACATTTACTATTACTCTGCAATGCACAAGGAGAAGTAACAAACAAGATAACATGAGAAAGAAGAGATGCAGGAGGAGCACTGGTAGCCAAAATAAGGACCACACTGTAATACTTGTTGTGACTTGAGAATTCTTAATTATTCCATGAAATGAAATAAGGGGGGAGGCAACCCCACCTCCCAACACATTTAATGACTTGTCCAAGTCAGCACCTGGATATTTTACTGAAATCCCTTATTTAGCTTATGAAAATCTATTTATAGTAGACACTGTAACCATTCAGTTTTCAGACCTTTCATGGATATTTCATTACCTTCTCTGTTTTCCAAAATGAGTCATTCTTCCTTCAGAGTAATTTTTGAAGATGACAATACAATATGCAGAGATAATGCCATATTTTCCTTCCTCCAGACATTTTCTCATTACTTTTCTTATTCCATTTTAGAGGATATTATAAACACATATAATCACATTTCTATTGTTCTTGGGTCATCAGCTGCTTTTAAGCAGCAGAATTTCTGTTCTGTTACCAGCTCTAGTGAGTTCTTTCTCACTGAAATTAGTAGAATTATACAGATATACATACAATTAAGATTTGGCCCAATTACATAAATAAGTTAATGCCTGCAGCAAGAAATTGTTTCTTTCTTTTTAAACAGCTGGAGGAACAACAGGTCATTTAATTTCATAAAAAAGTTTAAGGATAGTATAAACAGGAGGAGCACTGAAAAATCATCACATATGTAATTTAAATGGGTAGGCAGAATTCTTTTAGATCCACCAGCAACTCTTTAAAATTCTTGTGAATCACTAGGCAGTTTTATCCCCAGAAGCAGTGGTGGACAGCACCTTTTAGACCATCATGGTTTAAATCTGAGAGTTTGGTAAACATCAGTTTGAAATACTTTAATAAAGCAAGGTTGATATATTGTGGTAATTCCTCATATATTAGACACGAGGAGAGAGAGGAGGTAAAGGGAGTTTGCACTCTGGCCTTCTGTCACCCCTGAGTGTGGGATCCCCAGGAAGCCCTTGGGGTGGGAGGATTTACCTGGCACCACAGCAGCTCCCCAGATGACATAAGGCCCTCTTTTGTATCTTAATTAAGTGCTGCAAAATTAGCATCCCTACCTGAGCTCTAATGAATAGAATAAGCAGAAAGGAGGCTCTATAAACAGGCTCTTTTGAGGGGGAGGAATTTTTGCCCAACTTCATACTTCTAAATAAAAAAATTCTATGTTTAGACTTGCTGCCAAACTTTCTTTTACGTTTGGTGAGGAGAAATGGACATTTCAAAGTTGTTTACTCAGCTTTAAATGGAAAGATGTTTAAAACAGAGCAAGCAAACAACACTCCAGATAAACCTATTTCTCTGCACTCACTTTGTGCTCAGTAACTACACCTATATATCTGGAGTGGGTGAGAAAAATCCCACCTTTTTATTTTTTACTGAAGGTAGTTGTCTGGAGGTAAAGGGCATGACCAGACTTTGTTTTGTCACTACTGAGGCCTCAGAGGGTTTTTTTGGATTTTTTAACTTTTATAGATTTTAGAAGTAGTTGTGTAATAAATGTAGGTTTTAATGTAGCTGTATTATATCCCTTACCCTTTCTCAATCCCTCTAAATTCCATTAGCGTGTTTAGCCTTCTTTTCAAGGTAGAATTGCAGAAAAACACCCCTGTTTAAGAACATCTCACTCTAGGCCTGGACCAGGAGATATCGTGCAGACAGAGCAACCTTCAAGCCCCTTCAAGTCCTGGAGAAGCTCCAAGGACTGTACCTGCTTTGAAGAAGACGAAGATGAGGAAGAAGGGGTCCCAAACGCCCCCAGACCCAATTCCCAAAGGGGCTTGGAGGGGAGCAGAACGGGGCAGAACTGGGGATGGACAGATCTGGGATTGGATGGACCTTATTATGAAATCACAGAGCCATTGTCTGGGCAGGCAGGCATGCTGTGCATTCCTCTGGCCTCATTAAAGGACCTGCTCTCTTTATCTTATCTTATACACTAAATTGGCCCAGAGGCTTTTTCTCTGAGGTCTTTTTAGGCAACACTACCCACAACTGGCATTCATTTATATGCCAAAAAAGAACAGTGGCCTCCTTCCCAGCTGTCCAGGAGGCATTCAGGAAAACTCATAAATCTGTCCCCACTGTGACCACCCAGAAAGCACAGACCTGCAGGATGCTCGACACAGGTCACTGCCAGATCATAATTTGCAGTGTTGATTAAAGAGTGCTCTTGGCTATTTTTAAATTCTAGAAAACAGGCTTAACAAGGAAAGATAATTAAACTATTCTTTATTTGGAAACATACTTGCTGACAATGGATTTGGCTTCCTTTGCCTTTGCTCTTTTCTGACTCCAGTAATTCAATATTTTATCCTCATCTTAAAACTAGAAGACCAGGACCAGATGTGCTTGATACACACGTGATTTCTATGACTGATCTCTTTAAATACACTGACAAATTCTTGTCTTAGTTCTCCTGTGCATCTCCTCCTCCCTCTGCTCTCCTCCAAGCAAGAAACAAAAATATCTCAACCAACTGAAAGGTCTATTTGACCTCATCATACAGTTAGGTTAGAAACAATGTTCTGTCTGAGAAAATATTTTGTAATACAACCCTTTCTGCTGTGCTACAGGATTAACTTTCATACTAGTTTCATGTAAATAATATGAAATCTGAAAACTATAGAGGAGGGTTTTTTTCTGACTTTCTTTATCATCAGCTGGTATGTTATGCGACCAAGACAAATAAAAAACTGCATTTTGTACAAACCCATGACACTTATGTTAGTTTCAGTGAAAAGGAAACAGTCCCTGTTTTGTCCCCCAGAAATAATTACAGGTTTTAGTTATTAATCTTTAAGAGAACCCACAGCATTCATTTCTGAAGTCATAAATTCCAAAGTGCTAAAGCTACTGTAAGTCAGCAGAGCTGACAGTCTCAGCAGCCCTGCCTTAAAAGAACCACTGACCAAAAATCTCCAATAAACAAGCTAATTGATAAATATCCTACAATGTAGAAGATAAGTTTAGCAAAGAGATCATCACTAATCCTTCAGACTTACTTAGGAGATTATATTGACAAATTATTGGTCATTTAACATCTACCAGTTTTAAACTTGAAAATTCAAGATTCCAGGATGTCCCGCCACTGTATGTATTTTATATTTGAATAATATTCACATGAATTTAACAGATAAATTTTAAAAAATTCTTATTTTCCCTTCATGGATCACAAAAGATTGTTCTGCACAGGAAAAAGAAAAGTTAACTTTTTTTCAGGTTTTCTGCACAAAGGATTTAGTGCAAAGCACAGGAACACAAGTTACCAGCTGAACATGAATAAAGAGGCCAAAATCAGCCTCTTGAGGGAAAGGCTTCCTTGTTTACTATAAAAAGCCAAACAAGAAACAAAAGAAAGAAATGTTGAGAGAAACAGTGAGCACTTCCTGCACAGATTTCTACAAGTTAAGACCAAAAGACCATCTGTGCCCTGGGAACAGGCTGAATTTGGAGATAGGAGAAAACTACCTGACTGGTAGAACAGCGAGATCCTAAAAGAACTTCTCAGAAGGAGAGGGTTGGGACAAAGAGAAACTCCTAAAAAATTCCCTGGTGGAATTTGATTGGTTTAAGCTGGTTACCTTTACAGCTGTAAGGTATGTCTGTTCAACTGAGACTATCGGAAAGAATTTTGGTAGCAAGACTGAAAATACACAAGTTTTCAAAGTTATGGAGATTTAGTCTCCTAAGGAGCAAAAGAGAATAGAGTCCTACACTCACAGACCAGCAGTACAGTGATGAGACCCAGCTTTCCCTACTAATTATTCTTATTTAAGCTAAACTTGCATTGGATACACTGGGACACTAGCTAGGGAAAATATATTGGAAGCTGGTCCACAGGGATCACACTGGTTATTAACAGCATGCTAATATTTATATTCATCTTCTACTGAGGTTAATCTCAATTTTTACAGTGGTTTCCAAAGAGACAAGTGGATCTCTTAGAGAAGGTCAGATACCAAAAACTAACTTATTCACTACTTCATCTTGTCCTTAAGTAGCACCTCTGTGTCTGTGTTCAGCTATTCCAACCTGCATGTTCAAGTTGAAATGGCTTAGTTTGGATGAATGCCTGTGACAAATATACAAAATCAGCCTTTGTTTACTGTTCTAGCATTGGTTTTAGTTGCTGCCAGTATCTTTACCCCATGTCAATAAAAAGCTTTAGATTTTTTGATGGTGGAAAATCATGATCCCTTGCATGGAAATGCTATTAAGTACCCCCTGACACACTGAAAACCTCCTATAAAAATTGACATTGGTGTGTTAGGTGAGATACCATGGAAGCAGTCACTTACTATTTGTAAAAAACTGTGCATTGAAGAGGTCTGTGCTTGAGTATCTTGGTGTTTCATGGACTTAACTGTACAGTTAAACAAAAAATAACAACCCTAAGAGCTGATTTCCCAAGTAATCAAGTATTTCCCTACAGTTCATTTAACATTCATCAAGTACATAGAGCAAAATCATACTTAAGAGACAGTAAAAAGAACAAAACAGGAAAAGTCTTCATAAAGTCCTAAAAAAACCCAACTGCAAATGCTGCAAAGAGGCAAGCAGAGAGGGAGAAGGCACAAAAGCTGTTGACTTGCAGGTACTGAGCATCTGAAATACTGCAGTTACTATCACTTGCATCAATCCATTCTCACAGTGTTTACTGTGTTTTAATAGTTACTCAAATATTGGCAGCACAATCCCTCATCTCACTGCTCTCACCTAGAAATCTTAAATGTTCCATTTCCTTACTGAATGTATCATATAGGACCAATTACTAGTTTTATAGTATTTTCACCTGTAAAAATCTCATGAAAAACAAAGTTAAAAAATATTCGACAGTAATATAGCATCGTTCTCTCTTGCCTCCAAACTGAAAGGAACAAGAGACTATTACATGTTAGAAAAGCAGAAACTGGAAGCATAGTGGGGACAAGAAAGTTCTTCTCCAAAGCTGGGGATAGATCAACAAACCAAAGCTTTTCAAGAGGATCTCATTCTCAAAAGGGTGGAAAAAAAGTTAAACTTAAGAGTTTCATTTCAGCCTTCTAAGTTTGGGCACAGCATCTGAGGCAATCTGAGTGCAATCTCTGCAGATGCAAAGTTCATAGACGTGACTGTCTGCAGAAGCGTATTAAAGGGTCAGTTATATTTGCTTTTGCACACAAATGGAAATGCTTCCCAGATGTATTTACTGGACTCTTTGACAATGTTATGGAATAGATTTGGTCAGTCAGAAGATCATTCAGTGTGGTTCAGGGTATCACACGCTTTCCTCAGAGCTATTGCAAAATGGATATTTCTGGATGACACATCTGAAGACACAGGAAATTTCTTCAAGGAAGAATTGAATTCAAATTCAATCACTTCTTGGTGATCCTATCCTTACAGTGGCTCTGATTGCTTCTCTCTCCTATCAGAGAGGTATCGAAGATAAAGCCCTGTCCAGTCACAGAGTGTGGTTTATTATTTCAGCTGTTATTCAGACAAAAGGAAGGATACTGCCACTACCCTTCTAGCTAAGGAAGACCTGGTTAAACATCTAGATGCACCCCCTGAACTTCACATCTTTTCATACTTGCACAGGACAGTAAAAAACTGCAGCACTTGGGTCACTCAAATGTACTTAGTTGCAGAAGATAATACTGTGGGCAGGGAATTGCACACCTGAAAAACCACTGTCTTTTCAGGTTTTGCTTTTGTCGTTTTACAGAAGATACAGTCTAGTTGGAATTTCCACATTTAGAGATCTGATATTTGATCAAAATGGTATTGACACAGCTTATCTGGCAATTTGGCTCAAAGTTTTAAATTATAATAAGGAGGATCAATTTTTTCTCTCTGCTGCCATGGACTTCAACAGGATTAGAGTTGCAACAGAACAGGATTTGTGTTACTTGCAGTAAATCAGGGCTAAGTGTCACTTCTCTTTAGCAGGTTTCATTTCAAGTAAGTAATTAAAAAAAAACACCAAACAAGTTATTCATTACAGCATTCAGTAAACATATTACTTCCACCCCATTGACTGACAACACCAATCAAACCCAAGGAATTTCTGGACAAAGATTTTCCTTCATCTGACCTGTAAGGGGTTTTGCATATAGTTCCTTTCCTCTGCTTCAATCTGAGAGCAGCTCAGTCACCAAGGTGTGTCTTGAAGTAGGTTCAGCTACTCATGTCTAAGTATTTTAACAATCTGCCTTTAATTTATTGTTGGAAGAAGCAAGACTGTTGCATCTTAAGCCTTTTGCACATTGTGGAAACTCATAAAGCCTTGAGAGCTTTGTCCGCAGACCCCACAATAAGTATGACTCATGAAACACTTTTCTCTTCTCAGTATGCAATAAAGAAAAATATTATTTATAGTATCATACAAACTATTAAGAAACTGTTTTTCTTTGAAGTTTAGACATAGCAAGGGAATAATAATTTGGACAAATGGCGGTATTTACAGTTTCTTTGAACTGGGGCCACACATCATATCTTGGCCAAATATGTGGTTATGATGAAGGATTCCAAAATTTCCCAAAATACTTCTGACATTCACAAGTTCACTGAGGTCTAATATCTGGTTGGTTTTGGCTCAGAAGTGACTTAAGCACCAAAGTAATTTTAAGCACATGAACAGTAGAGCAGTTTCTTTGCCTTAGGGCTCTCACTCCGTGCCTCACATTGGATCTTTACGTACATCTTCAGAAAGGTCCTACAGTTCTCAAAAAACGCACTTAGTAGGATTTGTCAAAACCTTTCAGCACAGGCTTATCTGCTCCCACTCTAGTTTGTAGCAAGAGCGTGGTAAAACCCACTCCAGCAGAGAGCTGTAACAAGTCGTACATTGCATGACTGTTACAGCTCTTATCAGCTGTGCTCCAAGAACTTAAATCACGCAAGAAATAGCTCATCAGTGTTCATTCTGGCCCAGACTAAAGAGATAAAAATAAGATGACATTTGAGGCACAATCAGATGTAACAAGATGTCCTAGAATGGCACTTGCTTTACGGCAGACGTTTCGCACAGAGAAAAACTGCTCTTTTTCTGAAGCTGATTACAAGGAAGACTGGGAAGCATCATCTTAGCAAAAAGTAAGAGGGAATCAGTTGTTTTGCATGTATCAGTCAGAGGAGAAATGTATGTACAGTTCCAAATAATGTGGCACCTTTTAACTTGCGCAACCCAAAATGTGAGTGTTTAAAGCTGGATTCAGATATATTAGTTTCAAGCCTACTCCTATTTAGGTTAAAGTCTCTTTCTCATGCCTGCATCTAAGTAACATTTTAAAGTCTAGTAATAGCTATGTGAGACTCAAATAAGACAAAATACTCAGTGCAAAAACCCCCTACCTGTGTGAAATGGAACATGGTAAAGGTCTATTCAGGAGCAAACACCAGAAAATGGATGACAGATGCCCTCTCTTTAGGACTTTCTTCATCTCCCAGGCTCTTGTAGTCAGTATAAGAAAAGAGCCTTCCACAGTAGTCCTGCTATGGAAGTAACACTAGTTCTAGTCATGGTGCAAAACGTATTCTCCTGAAGCTGTTCATTCTGCAGCACAACTTGAAAAAGAGCAGTAAAAGAGAGCTTAGATGAAAGATTTAAAAATATGCTTGATTTCGATTTTGTCTTCCCTGCCTTCCTGGAACAGTGTAAATCCATGCAACATTCACAGACCCTGACAACAGGTGACCTTTCCTCTTATAAACAGAATATTGCCATAAGATTTTGTGTTTCCTCTGTTTTCATTCAGAACAATGATATAGGAATCGAATGGAATAAAAAGCAGTTGCTGAAGCACATACTGAAACATGACCTGAGCTGAAAGAACAACTGTCGCACTTTTTTACACAATTCAGAAGGGCATTTTGGTTCCTGCTGTCACCAGAAGTTGTATTTTAATCACTACAGAACATGATATGCCCAAGACAAAGATGCAAGAGCCACACAACGGCCAGTAATTTTCCTCAGGTCATGTCAGGCAAAAAGCACCATAGTTTCTTTTCTCTCTATCTGATTTTATGCCAACATGTACTCAGAAAGCTGTCGTCTGGCCTTTCTGTCCCTGTGATGTATTGCATCAATCTCTCAGTTCCCACAAGTTCATATTTAAAGAGCTTCTGTTCATTTATGTCTGCCTCGTAAAAGATCTCTTGTGTTGTTTTTCTCCCCACCCCCTTCAAGATTAATAAACATTCTGCTAAGAAAAGGCTTTAGCATCAATCAGATTTCATAACTGATTAGACAGGAGGTACTCTGGCTGCATTTGAAATGGGCCTCTTTTGACTGTTTTTGCTTCTAAAATTAGCTCAGCTATTTCCCGAGAGAAGTCTCTGGATAGAAGCAGACACCACCACAAGGCAGTACACTGGACCTGTGTCAGAAAGCACACTGAAAAGCTGATCAGAGTGTCCAAGAAAACTGGGAAACTGCTCTCCTCCCTGCCAGCAGCAGGGCCACAGAAGACCCATGCCGCAAAACACACCCTGGGGGTCTCTGTTCAAAAGAGTCTATGTCTGGTACAACAAGAGGAAGCCCAAATCTGATGCCAAGGACAAAACACCACTCATTAGCTTCACCCCCTGCAGAATCAGAGCTGCTGTTATTATTTATGCCAGGACTTGTTCTCCCTCGGTTTGTTGCTGAGCAGCCACAACACCACCTCTATCAACAGCAAGATCCACATTTCCCGGAGATGCCCAGGGTGCAACACTGCAGCCACCTGCAAGGCAAAGGCAGCAATCCATAAAAAGGTTTCCTGCCCTCATGCATAAAAAGATGCTCTACACATTTTCTTTCAGGAGTTATTGAATTCAGCCAATTTACTCAGTTCTGTGAAATTCAGTAGAGTAAGTTCTGGACTAAGGGGAAAAAGTTCCAATATCCCCATTGTATGCAATGCATCTATGTCAGAATCTGTGCAGGCCCTATTCAAGGCCTATTCTGACAAGAGGAAAAAGATAAAAATAGGTTACAGTTACTTTTGCAAGACATACACATCTTCTCTCTTTGCCCAGGTTTACTTTCTCCCACCTGCCAGCCCCTGTTATGAAACAGGAAACAAACATTGGCATCAGGTCACAGTGTGGTGAGTCGCATGCAAGGGATTTTACAGGAGGCATTCCCTTTTAAAATGAGGAACTGGAAATCTGTGCCCTGTTATGGACAGCTCTGGAAGGGTGGGCTGAGGATGGAAATTTAGATTAGATGCAGTTTCTTACAACAACTCATTTGAAGAACAAGAACGAGACACCGACTGCTGCTGACGTTCTGCTCTAGCAGAACTTAAAAAAAGTAATCTAGTTGTAACAGAAAGGGAGGTATATCTAACATAAGTATATAGTTTCTTTATCTAACATGTACTGTATAAATATAAAAGATCCTCAGTAGGTGAGTGAAGCCAGCACTAAAAAAATAAATAAATAAATAAATCAAACACAGCCTAGTTTTCTAGGGAACTAACATTATAAATCCTGAGCAGCTCTTTGTAGTAGGGTAACTTGGCAATACTGTGAGTAGCACCTTCAGGTTTTTAGGCAAGGTTTGGGATGAAAGAAAGAGGCAGAAGATCTCTTGTTCTTCTGTTTGTTTCTTCTTTCTGACACCCTAATGAAAAGATTTGAATTTTAACTTCTAGGATTTTTTTTTTTAAAGATCAAAGCTAAGATTAGAAAAAGAGAAGGGAGCATCTCTCTGCAGCTGTCATTGTCTTTATGCACCTGAAGTTTAATTTACACAAACTAATGCTGACATGCAAGCACATGTAACAGTCAAAACTGGTTTTAAAAAAAAGAATTAAAAAAAAGCATCACTCACACCTACATATACAACAGGAATATTCCCACTCCCACATTTCACATATTAAATAGGAATATGCAATACTAATATTCATACTAGAACTGCTTCTGGTCTTCTTCTGTCTGAATGTGTTGATCCAAAATGGCAATGGGAGGAAACTAAACCAAACAACAAATGCTAAAATTTTGCTTTCAGGGACCTTCATTAGATTTTATTCCCACAATTATATAAACACATGGGAACTAGTGCTGCTGCAGACTGATTTCGTGTCACTTAGTGCAGAGGAGACAAACTCTCTAGTGCCATTTGAGATTCTTGCACTCTACTGTTAACTCGTTTTGCTTTACACCGTATCTTTTTTACTGTATCCATTAGGCCTTAACTAGAGCCTTTCAGAGGCTCCACTGCACTCTCAGCTACAGCCCAAGGGTTACTTTTGAGTGTACCTATTCAAATTAAACTTTAAAAAATACTCTTTTCCTGTCCCTTCAGAAAGGGGCTAACTGATATTTCCAAATCAAAACATTTCATAGGTCTATGACTCAGATAATTTTATTCCTGCTGAAATCAAATAAAAATCAGAAGTCATCATGAGAGGTTTTTGGCAGATGCACTAAGGATTGAGTGAGCTGGAACCTCCATTTCAGCAACAACATCCGTAACTCAGGCGCTCTTGGTTAAACTTTGTTTCTTATTAGTCAAGTACTCTTGGGGACATGTTAGTGTGAAATCTGTGAATGGCATTTGAAACCTTTGTGGTTCTCCATATCCACAGCTAAACTTTACAAAAGGAAAGTTATTTTGCACAGGAAGCTAATAAAATACCCTGTGAGCTCGTGTACCAGTGCAAATAAGATATTGCACTTGAAATTTCACTAGAAGACATAATTCTGTTCAAAAGAGCTATGAAATAATAAAAGAGCATGTCTGGTGGACATACAGGAGTTCAAAAGTAGTGACTGACAAGCAAGAATGTTTTACTGGTTTACTGTGACAGTGGATATCTTATCCAGCCAGGAAACTACACACAATTCTCTTCTTTTTCTATTATTATTATTATTTTCTTTCCCTTTCTTTCTTCCATAAGTGATAACATATCAAAATCATATCATTATTCATGTAGGATTTTAAATGCAAATTGTAGTTTAATGAGCAAAAAAATTATTTCATCAAAATGCCCACCAAGGTAACTTCAGGCCAGCTTCCTTCTATCTATGTAAAGACACTACCATGATTACTTAAGAACATAAAATGCAACATGTCTTCTCATGAAGTTGATATATAATCCACCAAACAAAAATAAAATAAAAAAATCCAGAGAAAACTTCATTAAAAAGCCCAAAGAAAACCAGAATGTCTTGAGGCAAAAAGGGGTCCTGCTACAGGGGTTTTTTTCAGTCCTGTTAAGAATTTAGACTTTTTTAACTATAGGCATGACTGCTTTCTTTAAAAATCAGTAGGTGCCAAGGACTTGAAGAGAGAGAGAGATGCAAACAAAATGGATCATAAGACAAGTGATGCAACTGAACATACGCACAAACTTCCTTAATTAATGAATTTCCAAAACATGATACAAAGTGATTTCAGTTAATTGAGTTAATATTAACCTCTAGGAGCTTGTGATTAAATTAATGTACACTCTCGATCAGTCAATGTAAGACTTCTCTACACCAGAGGGACTATTGCCAGCAACTTCCTTATTATGATTTGCTTGACTTGTATTAAAAAGCTATTTTTAACATTATATGCTTAAAGCCAAATCATGCTAGACTGTGTAAATTACAAGGCAATTATAAGCACCATTCAGCCTCATCTAGCCTAGAACAGGCAAATCCAATATGCTACAGCAGTGCTTTATGGTGACCGGGTGTGAAAATATCAAGCTAAGAAGGCAGCAAAAACTGAACAGCAATTGAGGGCAGTCCCTACTTTACCCCCATCCAGTCATATGTGGACACGCTGTGATTCTCCTCACTGCTGTTAATACAAAGATACTGTTCCAAAAGTAGCATATCATGTAAAATACACGTTGCCAAAGAAGATTTTCACAGAAATCCTTGGCATCCAACTCCACTAAAGAATCGGAGAATTTAGGTCTGTATCTTTTAGTCAGATGGTCTCTAAACTCCAGGGAAGTGTGTTCACTACTACAATACTGAGGGGGAACTTAGTGTCCAAAACAGTCAGAAAGATGGGAACTCCTATGACTGGCCTGTAGCAAACACCCAATGTAATTATTGCCACTGCAAACCCTCCCCTGTGCCCTCTGCCAGCACAGGACACTGAGCTCTGGAGGACAAAGGGTGACATCGTGTGCAGAGTCCATTGTGCACCGGATAAGCACATTCCCACAATTTCCTTTCCAAAGGACAGGATTAACGCTTTTCTTTTAAAGATCTGCAGAGGAAAAGAGCAGTGCTAGTGCTTACCTGCTCCATAACCTTCTCATGGTTAAGGCATTCCCCAAGGAGGAAAGCAAAAATCCTCTCCTTTTTCCACAGCAAGACCACTGGGTGCAACATAACAGCGGGGGCAGACGTACCTTAATCTGGATACAGGCAGAAAACAAGAACACAATAAAAAATGCAGAAACACTGTTCACTCTCTAAGTAGCAAAGAGCTTTCTCCATCAGTTTCTGCTGGCTCCAGTTTCTGCATTTTCACTCCAATTAACCATAATAAATTACAGTTATACTGCAGTCAACTTAGACTATGCAGATACAGCCTGGAAACATAAACAGCAAACAGCTGATCCCATGCTATCAGCTGTGTTTTTTCCAGAGTTTAGGACAAAATATTCACTGAGGTCAGGGTATTCTGAAGGTACTTGTAAACCAGAAGTGGCTCCACTGCAGGAGGATATCCAGACTTGGTGCTCCCCCTGCCTGGCTTAGGCGGAAAGTGTCTCATCTCTGCAGCAAGCTCATCCTCCCAAGTTCCTGACGTGCATTATCTTTGCAAAATAAAATATCCCAGCTGACCAGTTCCTCTACCATCAATGTCACAAGCCTTTCTGGACATGTCACACATCATTAAGCCTGTGATGTCATCTAAAAGATAAAAAGAATCAGTCAATAAAACTAGCTGGCATCCATCAACAGTAATTGTAGCTCCCAAAAAAAAGCATGTCCCATCTTGACTTGGGCTCACACATCGTATCCCTGAGACACAAAAAGAGTTGGGATTATTTGGTAAATCCTGAGGTAGTTTTAACAGCAAAGCAAAGCATGTTAGTGTTTATGTTTTATTAACTCTGTATGTGCTACTCATGTATGTGGTGCATCACACACTAAAAAGTAAAATTATGCCTTAATGCTTTATCCTGTAAGAAATAAAAATACAAAAGTACAGATTAGGACTGGATTAATTAATTAGTACCTCATGCAAAGTTGACTACTTTAATATTTTGTAATTTCAAAGTAGTCTTTGCACCTATAAATATTATTCAACTGTTCTTCTTCAACCTCTATGTGAACTTGTAAAATTTATATATTTTGCTTGACCATTGCAAAAGCAAAAAGGTCAGGGAAGTAATTTAAAAAGTAACAAACAATAAAGATAAGTTTAGATAAACATGAAGAATGGGAACAGTACATAGAAGATTTTTTACTTTAATTGTTCCATTTAAGTTCAACATGGTTTAGCAGAAAGAAACGGTGACCTCAAACACTGAGCATTTACAGTAAAGCATAAAACCTCTTATAAATAATGGACTAAGAACAATATGAATTGAAGCCCAGTCTAAATTAAACATCTCACTTTTAATTCATCACTCTCTCAGGGCTGTTCCGAACTTAGTTTTACTTAACTGTGAAAGAAAACATTGTAGGTATTTCTTATCTGCTGCAGCTAAACACTAGGATCTCATATTTGAAAACTACTTAGAAATACAGCAAGTAGTTACTCAAAGACAGGAACTAATCAAGTACATAAATTATATACACAGGCATGAGCTTTCCTACATGTCTACAGAAATTATTTATAGAAGAAACCTGACTTTGGTAGGACTCTTCACAGGCACATAAACACTTTTAGAACTAGGAATCAGTCAAATGCTGGAAAAAAAATTCTTTATACACTAAAAAAAAAGTTTCAAATAGCTTGTGACAACATTTAAAACACTCACAAAGCTCTCAAGCTCCACTATTTATCATGACATTGTCACAAATAAAAACTTCCCCACATGTATGTGAAACCTAAGTCCAAAAACTAACTGAAATACATAAAATATAACAGATTAACATGGCTCATCTTTTTAAAAATGTTAGTACTACCACATTAGTTTTTCTCTCCAGTGGAATGGTTGATGCATCCAACATGCTGTTTCATTTTTCTACTAAATATTTTTTTTTGGGGGGTGGGGGATAGTATATAGATGTATGACTTCAAAATTATATTATATGGACAAAGCAAGCCTTTACATCAGAACAAAGATCTGGACTTTGGTTTCATCACAGTGAAGGTGACTGTCTTTAGAGTTAACCTTTTGACATTTAGCAAGGGATTATATTTACCAAGATATGAGGACTGTAAATTCAGTCTATCTAGAACAGAACCTGGAGCATACAATGTACCCACTGTGTCTGCTGTGAGTGCAGTCATTAAGACATTACTGCAGTTGAGAACTGTAAACTTTATTTCCTGCACATTGTGTTTGTATATGTAATAAACCATGTGGTAGACAGAATTCACTGAATTTAGCTCTGTGGAAAAAGAGGCACACAAAGAAACCAGGATCTTCACTTCTGCTCTCCCACCCAATCAATGCATATTTTCAAGTGTTTCTTCCGCCTTCTTTACAAATGTCCCAATTCCTGCCTCAGATTTTTGAGAACCAAAGTCTCGGGACATTTTCTTGGACAAGACTATCTAACTTTCTTATCTCTTGTGTATCTTGTATATCTGGTTGTACTCATTTGTTTTGGAAAGAATGATGGCAGATTGTATGATGCAATTATCCTGATGCAAATATTGCAGTATTACTTCAGTAGAACTCCATCTAACATGAAAAACAAGTAGTTCTAGCACTATATAAATTCTTGTCCTTCTCATTTGTTTTTAAGTCTCTTCCATTTCTGCAAAAGGTGCCAAGCAGTTGTCTGTGTGAGAGAAAAGGCCACTTTTCTTGTTTTCCCAGTCTGAGTACTCTTCATTCATACTGAGCTCCATTTTTTAGCTCTTTGTTTTCAGTTTTTCATAAACTCTTCAAGCAGTTTCAATTCCAGCGTCATCTTGTGCTACAAGCATTTCTAACTTCTCAAGACAGGAGAGCATCCAATCTCTACAGAGCATTAGGCCCTTTCAGTGACACCTGCCTTCCTCTTGGGTGGTCACAACTTTTACCATTTTTGGTATCCTGAGTCTGTGTCAAGCTCTAGGCACACTTAGTCAGCCTTTTATGAAGCAACCCAGACAATACTGCTAATGGGGATTTGGTGGCTTCAAACTGTTAGCAGATGGCACAGCATGCAGCTTTGGGTGATTCATGAAATACAGAGAGGATGACAATCTACTGGAAGTGTCTCATCCCACTTCAAAGCACTGAACCAAAATTCCAGCTGCACCGAATCTGGATGCTGCTGCATCACTTCCAGGGAAAACAATTCCCCCCTCCTTTCCCTCACACAAGCACTGTTAGGGGCCAGGCCCCCAAAGCCAGCCATAGATTACAGTGTCCTATATTGCATCAATCCAAAACATTTCTTAAAAGGTCAGCCAAACATTCTCTTCTGGCTTTGACCTTTTCCTTTCTATTTTACTGTAAAATTACACATTAATAACATATTTTATAAACACAATGTAAAACATCATTAGCAGTTCATATTCCATTCAGTAACTGACAAAGAAAGAAAAACATGGAATTAGACTTTCCCACCTACTGAAGGGGTTTGAGCATGTAAAGGAGACACACAAAGAAGGGACATCTATGCAACATACTACTATCATCAAATTATTGGAAATTTGACTTGAATGTTTTCCCATGGGAACAGCTCCTTTATAGAAGTTACTGAGGATTGTTTTCATGTTAAGGATATATTACTACACATATTGAAGGCACTTTGAAAATCTAGTTAAATATTGGGATTTCCAACTAGAAGGCAGAAGCTAGAAACAGCACCTGCAGTACAGCGTGAGCCCTGAAGGGTCTCTCCAGAGGCACTGGATCTGACTGAGCTGAAGCACCAGAAGTGTGGCACCTAAGGAAGGAAGAGGAAAACTGAAGTCTAGAAGAACATTAAGCTTGAGAGCATCAGAATGACTGTGATTGCTATGAAAAACAGCTAATAGAAATAGGAATCAAAATACTAAGACAAGAAACGGAGGGCAGTGCTACCAGAAAACAATGCTAATATAATTATGCACATAAGCCCCATAAATACCTGAGGATTCTTTGATACCTTATTCGATTATTTTTTTTTTAAATTTTGTCTAGAAATTACCAAGTCCTAGACATAGCTGTGATTTTGATGGTATTCAGTGTGTTTTAGTTTGATCCAGGTCAATGCAGTAGGCTGTTGTAGCCCCATGACTGCTTGGCACAGAGCAGGACAGTGCCAGGGAGCAGCACGAGCAGACTGCTGTGCCTGGAAGGATGAGCTGGGATCTGAGGCAGGCAGGGTCATGCCCTCACTGACAGCACTGCAGTCCCACCAGACCTGGCAAAAGTGAGCAGACCAGATCCAGTGATGGTGGCCACGTTTAGGCACAGTTCAGATCCTCAGACAGGAAAGTCCAAGGTCAAGCCAAGAAACTGAACCAGCAGGTAAGGGTCAGGATCAGATCTGCAGAGTCACCAGGGTCAGGCACAAGCACAGATCACCAGGGAAGTCCACAGCAATAAGGCAGGTCTGAAATCAAGCCAGAAAGTCAAGTCTATGGGTCAAAGCCACGATCTGTCTGATCATCAGGGCACACAGCCAGGCACGAGCACAGCTGCAATGCAGGGACCTTAAATGTAGCAATGGGAGGAGGAAAAAATACACCTGGGGCTCTGGCAAGGTGCTTTTTAAGCCAAAAGAGCCAGAGGCTTTATTCTGGATCACACTGTAAGTGCAAGAGGTTCAGGAATCTTCAAAACTTCAAGTCTACCATTAAAACAGAATGAGAAGAGCAGGGTGGGAAAAAGGGGGGAATGTTTCCTTTGGGCATGGACACAGTAGTTTCCCTCTTCATTTGTCATGTTATTTTCCACATTTGTTGTGCAATAACAGCAAGTCAAACACAATAATTTAAACATATGTAGTGAAATGATCTCAAAGTGAAAATGTATCCCTGAGACAAAGCACAAAACAGAGGCTAAAATTCTACATTCAAACTTTTGTTTCTTTGACTTTTTTCCCCCCCCTCAATTTTAAGATTCAACTTCCAAGTAACTTTGGTTATAAAGTTTGCATGTGCATAACACATTTCTTATCCAGAATGCTTCCTATGACCATAAAAATTTTGAGATGGAAAAGAAAGAATGCGTCACACTACAAGCAAATTGAAATTCAGTTGCACTCATTACAGCTTTCTATTACACTTCTCTCAGTTATTTCCTTCAGTACTTTTCCTTGCTTTAATTGAATTTCTGGTATCTGAAGTATTAAACAGTTATTCTGACCAGGAATTTATAATTGATTTTTCTGGGTACTTTCCCGAAGAACTGAAAGACCTTCAGTGAAGCAACTACTGAACAGCTTGTAAAAGGAGTTCATACAAAGTATGGATTATAAGCACACAGGCAAGTCCTTAACAATACCTACTCGACCCTTCAAGGTGCACAGGTAGTGGGAGAGATCCTTTCTTTAGAGTGTAAGGAAAATTTTCAAGCGTCCCAACATCCTCAGGTCCCCAGTACCTGTCACACAAAGAACAGCAGGACTGACACCTGGTCAGTAAGGCCACATCAGCAAAACCTGTCTGTCTTCTGCCCTGTGCATACACAGGGAAGAACCTGGACAAGGGAAGTCAGTGAGTCAGGGGTTGGGTTTGTTTGCTTTTATAAGCTTACTGAACTGGAGGATGTGTAGAGAAGAATCTGCACAGACCTCCTTTCCCCCGGTGTTTTTTCCATGGCACCTGTAAGACTGTACAGAGACACAGGTGAGCCCTGGATAAGGAGTATCAGGGATCTGGGACAGCATAATCCTACTGTCCTTATCTCTCGACTTTTCAGCACTGTGTGAAAACTGCCCTAAGAGAAGCTCTCTTTTATCATCTGTCAGGCAGGCAAGAAGTAGTTTTTTTCACTAGTACACAGACTATTAAGTAATAGTCTCTACTAGTTCCTGTCAGGGAGATAGTTATGTCTGTCTCATTTCCACATATCAACATGTAATTCTAATGATTTTTTTCCTTCACATGAGAGAGAGATATAGAAAACTCAGTACATCTCTCACTCTCACTTTTTACCAGAGTTGGGAATGAGTTCACAGAAGGGGAAAAAACTAAACACAAAGAGAAAACTAATACATCATCTTACATTGGTAACTTTTGACAGTATAAATAT